TGCTGGTTTCTTCCGTCCACTTCCTTGACGTCGGGCTACGCTACCAGTATCACGGTAACGAGCGATGGTACGAGACACAAAAGATTTATTCACATTTAAATGCTGGAGTGCTCTAACGATAGCCACTTGTGGTGTTCCAGCTAAATAAAAATAAATCACTGTAAAATTCTCCCCAAAATGCTTCTGCACGATTGTAAACAATATAGTGGGCTGTCACTGGAATAATTTTTTACAGCTGTCGGACGAGTGGCTAAGAAATGACAGCAGTCTGAAGTTGGTTGTAGTTTTTTCATCTCACCCTGTTTACATATAGTTGATTATGATATCTTACGTGGTAAGTTAACCAATTGTGACAACAAATAAACTCGAACTTTCTTGAGCAAAGATATTTTATATATTGTTACCTCGATCATCTCCACTGCTTTTGGCCATAACGCCGCCTGACAACATTTACCGAATAATCTCGCTCTTCCCATTGTTCCTTGTTTTACTTATTGCGAGATAATTTGAATCAATGTTCTAAATCGGCACAAATAAAATAATGTTTGCGTCCAAAATTAAGTCATGCTTTCGGGAACAATGATACAATATTTTAGACAAACCGACTGACAAAAAATTATCCAAGAGATTTTAAGGTCATCTATTTGTATTTGTTCGCTTTTTCTGGCTCATACAATAGAACATACGCATGTACGTCGTTTATCACTCGGCGATGTATGTTGAGGTTTTAAATGCTCTTTTCTAAAGCAACAACCAAGCGATTGGGAGCTACTATCGAAATATTTGGCCATAGCCTGCCAAACGATATGTCTTTGTTACCCACACTACATAACTGAACTGATTAATTAATCGCCTTGCTGTTATCTCTTCTCCCATTGTGTCCGCCTACTTAGCATGGGATAATTCGATTCTGATGAGCAAAGAATGATACAATGTTTTGGGACACATTGTGGCATGAAGTGGCCCGTAATTACTTTTGAGGATCTTCATAGAATCACTTTCTGAGTCGATTTATGCATGTCAGTCCGTCTGTCTGTCCATGTATTCTTGTTAACAAAATGCAGGTCGCATTTATTGTCCGATTGAGATGAAATTGTCCAAACAATTTTTGTTTGGCCCAAGGACGAACCCTATTGAAATTGATGATAATAGGATCAGATTTAGTTATAGCTCCCATATATCTTCAACCGATTTTGCGTTAATTGTGCACCAAATGGCCATTAAAGTCCAAATGACCTGAATTTTGGCACATCCAACCGAATCAGTCTACAGGCAATTACATATAATTTAGTGAAAACCGATTCAGATATAGCTATAGCTGTCACATATATGTTTCATCCGATTTGGTGTTTAAGTCCCCCACATTCGTAATATGCACCCCACAAGAATGAAGTTTGGTATCAGAAATACCTCCGCCAAATTTTATTAAGATCGGTTCTAATTTGGATAGAGTTCCCATATATATCTTCAACCGATTTCGGGTTAATTGTGCACCAAATGACCAATATCAGCCTAAATGTTTTGAATTTTAGTACATCCGACAGAATTTAGTCTAGACGCATTATGTTTGATATTTAAGCCCCTCAAATTCGTAATATGCCTTCGACAACAATGATATTTGATGTCAGATTTCTTATATAGCTCGGAAATACCTTTTCCAAATTTTATTGAGATGGGCTAAGATTTGGATATAGCTTCCATATATTAATCCGATTTCAGGCTTATGGCTAATGTCAGCCCCATTGGGGTGAATTTCGTGACGTACGTTTTTTAATATAATCCTTCTCGGAGCGATATCATGCACTCTATATCAATGTAATTTGATATAAAAGACAAAAATGTCTCCGTCAAATTTACTGAAAATCGATTCAGAATTAGATATGCCTTCCATATATTAGTGCCCTCTGAAACCAAAATATAACTGATCTAAAGCCAAATGTTTATAGGTGGTATGATCTACTTCAAGCTCTACTAAATATGAATAGGTGTGTAGGGTATCGCCCGACTTTTGTCTTTTCCTTATTAGTTCTTATTTGCTTTGCGATAAATTCGAGAATGTTGTCCCGCTTTATTTCACTGTAAAAGTGCAACAAGTACATTTTGTAAAATATCGCCCAGTGCACTACATTGTTTGGATTTATCATGGACACATACTTAAGTCATTTCAGTTTTGATAGGTAAAATATTGTATTTATCGAAGAAATTCAGCGGTATAAATCGACTTAGAATTATACGCTGATTCAGAATACATATACATATACGCATAGGGTCTAACATGAGCAATAACAGTTGTTCCAACCTCAAACAATGACACTTCGAATTACGCTAATGACACCCTTTTGTTGTACAGTGTAGTATTTACTACAAGCTACTCTTCGTAACATTTCTTCTTCTGCCCATAAAGAAGGTTCTATTCCGTCCCGAATTTTGAGGCCACATAATGTTTTATCGACCTATACTATGGGAAATACCGGTATATGGAGTTATATTATTCCTTGTGTTATATTATTTTTTATTCGGGAAGTTAAACTTCAATCGATAACTTAAAATACGAAATTAAATTTTTTGGAGATATGAAACCCTTTGAGTAATTGATCGATATGTATATGATTTTATTGTCTCTTTCGAGACAATCTTAGTGATTTGAAATTTCCCAGCAGTCCGCTGGCCATTACGATTTAATACCCATCCAAATGTATACTATTTTGCAATAGGAAAAAATTAAATAACAATCGTTAATAGCATACAACTATTTAGATGAGTCGTATTGCTATTACATTGTGAAACCAAATCCATATTAGAATTAAAGAACAAAACAAAAAAATGTGTCCATCGCACTTGCATCTGAATCGGATGCTGGGATTCACTGCAACCCAGCAGACTTTATTTGCACATACATTTTCCAACTGAGACCACTGACAATGTAGGTGCGACTCATCCAAAGCCTGTATACAATTTCTACTTACATTTACACAGCGATGGCCTAGGTTGTCAGACGAGTTTGAAATGTAAGCGAATGTTGAATGGGTCCTAAATCTACCGACATTGTAAGCGAAGGCTGGATGGGTTCGAAATCTATCGACATCCGAATCAGATGCAAGTGCGATGGACAAATTTTATTATATTTTGTTTTGTTCTTTAATTCTAATATGGATTTTGTTTTACGGTGTAATAGCAATACGACTCATCTAAATCGGATGCTAGTTGTATGCTATTAACCATAGTGGTAAGGGTATTATGTCTTTGTGCATTTGTTTGTAACATGGAGAAGGAAACGAGATAGACCCATAGTTACTTTTGAGAACCTTCATAGAATCACTTTCTGAGTCGATTCAGTCCGTCTGTCCATGTATTCTTGTGAACAAAATGCAGGTCGCATTTATTATCCGATTGAGATGAAATTTTCCAAACAATATTTTTTTGGCCCAAGGACGAACCCTATTGAAATTGGTGAGAATCGGATCAAATTTAGATATAGCTCCCATATATATATTCATCCGATTTCGGGTTAAATGTGCACCAAATGTCCACTATCAGTCCAAATTACCTGAATTTTGGCACACCCAACCGAGTTCGGCCTAGAAGCAAGTATATCAAATTTGGAGAAAATCGGTTCAGATATAACTATAGCTCCCATATATATCTTTCATCCGATTTGATCTTTAAGTCCCTCACATTCCTACTATGCACTCCACAACCGTGATATTTGGTACCAGGTATTAGATGGAGCAAAAAAATAGCTGTTTTAAATTTTATCGAAATCGGTTCAGATTTGGATATAGCTCCCATATATATCTTCATCCGATTTTGGGTTAATTGACCACCAAATGGCCAATATCAGCCCAAATGGCCCGAATTTTGGCACATGTGACCGAGATTAGCCTTAAAGCAAATACAACAAATTTGGAGAAAATCGGTTCAGAAACAGCTATAGCTCCCATATATATGTTTTATCCGATTTGGTGTTTAAGCCTCTCACATTCGTAATGTGCACTCCACAAGAATGATATTTGGTACCAGATATAAGATACAGCCCAGAAATAGCTGTTTGTAATTTTATCGTAATCGGTTCAGATTTGGACATAGCTCCCATATATATCTTTATCCGATTTCGGGTTAATTGTGCACCAAATGGCCGATATAAGTCCATATGGACTGAATTTTAGTACATCGGACCAAACTCAGCCTAGAAGCAAGTATATCAAATTTAGTGAAAATCGGTTCAGATGTAGATATAGCAACCATATATATGTTTCATCCGATTTAGTGTTTTAGTCCCTTACATTCGTAATATTCACTCCACAATCGTGATATTTGGTACCAGGTATTAGATGGAGCACAGGAATAGCTTTTTTAAATTTTATCGAAATCGGTTCAGATTTGGATATAGCTCCCATATATATCTTCATCCGATTTCGGGTTAAATGTGCACTAAATGGTCAATATCAGCCCAAATCACCTGAATTTTCGTACATAAGACCGAATTCAGTCTAGAAGCTAATACGTAAAATTTGGAGAAACCCGGTTCAGAGATAGCTATAGTTCGTAAAATGCACGATAGAATTAGATAGATTTTGATTTTGTACCAAATATCTCATAGAGCTCTGAAATGCCCTGTATAAACCTTTTTACGAGAGCTCTACTAAATATGCATAGTGGTGTAGGGTATCATATAGTCGGCCCCGCCCGACTTTTGAGCTTTCCTTACTGGTTTTCTATTGACAAAATAGCATACATTTGGATGGGTACTAAATTGTAATGGCCAGCGGACTGCTGGGAATAGGAAATTCTGAGCGAGAGAGAGAGAGAGAGAGTGTATGATAACGTCTCTCTTGCTTTCATTTCAATGCAAAAATTAAAAAGTTAGTTTTATTCTATCTCCTGTTATTATATCCGGTACAACCAGGGTATCAAATAGTTAACCCCGCCAGACTATGATCTTTTCTCTACTTTCTTCAAACTGCTTACCAAGAAACGTCCCTAAAAAGTAGCAATAAACATTTGTTGTAATTTGTTAACAACTATTTGTCATTTATTTATTTTACTGATTCTACTTCTTCAGTAATTTATCAGCGGTTTTAGATCAGCGATAACGGCGCATCGCATAAGTGGAACTTTAGTTTACAATGACACTTGAAACTAAAACTATTTACTAAACTATTTATTGAGAGGTTTCTAAGGGGATTACAGTACTCGGTGGTGGCAATGATCGCAAAACCTTGTTAGGTACTTGAGAAGATAGCCAGGCAAGCGTTTGGCTGGCTGGCTAGTTCGACCAGCCAGCTGATATGGAATGTGCTGTGCAACACACACTCAATTATTTATCACAGATTGGTCATCGATAGTGTGGCAATGATGATGATGATGATGTCGGTAGTAGTGGTGGTGGATGTAGTGGTCGATTTAACCACCGGAACTAGAACTCATTCCTTTATTGCTTCTTTGCTGCAGAACAATTAAACATAAGTGGGTAAATTAAAGATTTGTGGTTGGCTGCGGCTGTCGTTGTTTGGGGATCTGTCCTGTGATCATATTCCTGTTTGGTGATAAGAAATCTCAGATGAATTTCCTTGTTCCCCCGAGATTTCCACTCTTCTATAAGCCAGCTTAACAACCAACTTTTTGTTTATCGTTTCTGCCATTAGGTCAATGAGTTTTTGCAGATGCAATATTTTTTTGCCTGTTTATCGTCGACACATTTCGCCGTCTTCTCGTACTTGCTGTGTCGGCCTATATCCTCCACATTGAGGCTTATGCGTCTATTCTTAATATCGTAATCCACGGTGGCACTAAATTGTGTAGTTGGCGATGTTTTCGGTTTGGTAGTGAATTCAATGCGATATGTTGCCATGTCAGGTGATGCTGAGGACGAAGACAACATTGCTGGATCATGATCGCGCAAAAAGGCACTGGAAATGCCATTAAGGCTTAATTCACTGCACAGTGAACTTAGATTTCTAGCCACCAACCACTTATTCATCTCCGCCAATATCAAAGACGTTACATTTTTGACCAACGCATCCGTGGTCGGCTGGGTGATGTAGGGCAAACAAGTACACCACGTTTCCGGTACACAAGCCGCATGGCAATCCCTTTCCTCGGGTATTTCGTAAAACAAGGATTGTGCGCTGGTACAATCTAAAGTCTCTATGGATTTATACTCATTCAATGTGGCCAACTCCAACAAATGTTGTAGCGTCATATGCACATCGAAATTCGACGACAAACGTCTTTGATTCACCTCCAGATTCCTTGACAACTCCGGATACCGTTCCTTAAACCATTTCGGTGTTGATATGAAAAACATTGGCAAACGTTCCTCCAAAAAGCCCTCCGGTAATTTTAATAATGGACCCCATCTCCTGCCATGATCGCTAAAGAAAAACACGAAGGATGTCTCCATAATACCCTCCCGTTCTAACTCTTCGAAATACTCCAACATTCGACTGTCCATTGATGCCGTCGTATCATAGGAATTGTGTGAAAAGGAATTGGTCCAGAATAATCCAAAATGTGTTTGATTGCGATAACGCTTGGCAAATTCCACACCAAAATCGTAAATATACTCCCCATATTGGCGACGTCCAATGCAATAATTTTCAGCAGCTTTCCGCACGATTTTCATGTTTTTTTCTATGGCCATGCCAGTGGGTCGAAAGTAATGATCGGTGGGTGGTTTCATGAATCCTTTTTTTAAATAATTAAATGTACTAATTGAGGACGTATCCTCGGCATAGCCTGTGGGAAAGCCATAATCACGAAAGTGGTTCCATATAAAGGTACAATTATCTAGGCCACCTGGAGTTTTAGGCTTACACAATTCGATGGCATTTCCATTGGCATAGCCAACGAGGACGGGCATCAAATTGGGATAGGTGTTGTCCGCAACCTACAAAAAAATATAGAAAAAACCCGGTATAATCAAAGAAAATATAGAATAATCAATTTAAGTAAAAAATATGTTTATGAAACAGAAACAAGGTGGAAAGTATCAATCGGTCTGCTTACCAGGAAGTCTTTGAATTTTGTTCACGAATTTTCCCCAGAAAATATTAAAAATATTATTTAGAAAAATTTGTTGGGTCCAACCAAATTCAAGTGGATTTTTCTAATGAATATTTTACTTTGGCAAAATTCCTGGACAATTTCAAGGACTTCTAGAATAAAAAATTGGGTCCTATCTCGAATTTGTTTTTCTTTTATTCAATTCAATTTGATTCAATTCCACGATCAGAAGTCCTTCAAAATTTAGAAAATTTCCATAGCTTTAACTTATGAGAGAGAAATTAATAATCTCTAACTATCCACTCCTTTCATATCGGCTTTATGGTATTTAGAAAATTGGACATAAATATTGAATATTAGCAAGTGCCCGCTCCTTAGTCTTTATGGTCCAACAGCAAATTTTTCTGTTCAAAACTATTTCAACGTTTACAACCAACAGTGATCTTGACATCAAATTTCAGAACTCCATTTCTTCACTTGCTACTAAATTTAGTAACATTTGGTAAGCATATGCAAAACAATCACATCTCACTATCCTAGACACCAACAGTGATCCAAAATTAGTACCAATTAGAAGTTTTCGAACAATTATAGTGCTTTTCGTACAAATATAGGACGCATTTCAAAACCACCGCTAAATTTCAAACACAGTTACCATCAGTAATATAAATATAAAATTTCAACATTTTATCTCTACATCCTCACCCAAAATCAGCGAACGAAAACAAACGAAACGATTAACACACCCCTCTCACGAAGACACAAACTTTTAAAAATTTTTCAATCGTTTTGTATTTCAAACAAAATAAAACCACAAACATTTCAATGGCAGAAGTACACAAACAATAGGATTGCCTTAACGTACTTCGGCTGTGAGTTGCCGAGCTGTATCGTTTGCGAACCAATCGCCGGGAAACGTTTGCAAACGTTTGCTGTGTGAAATGATGACTGGTACATTTAGAGTTGCTATTCTTAATATTGTTTTTTGCACTTTTTTACATTGCATGATGTTCAAAAAAATGAATAAAAAGGAATAATATTAACTTTTAATTAGTTTGTACATATTTGTGTTGAGTTAATATACAGGGAAACGTTTGCAATGATTATTGTACTGTTTCGTTTCCAATGTTGCGTCATCCAGCAGAGTACATTTAAGTTTTGTTTTTGTTTTCACTCATCTACACAAACAGTAGATGAGTTATCTTAATATCGGTTTTGTTTCGTTTCGTACTTCGAAAAAGTACAGAACGAAACGATTGCAAACGTTTCTAATAGTTTATTTTGGTTCGCTGCCCAAAATACCAATTATAGTACTTTTCACACAATTATAGTACACATTTCCGGAACCACCTCCATACATTAACCACGTACATTAATATTTGTATGAGATTTCAGGATTTCAGCTCTATTTTTTTACCCAATACCAAATTTAGCACTAAATGGTACTAAAATTGCCGTTGAGTGAATGGAGAGAGCTTGAATCCTGAAATTTAAGATTGAGGTCCCTGTTGGTATCTAGTATCGAAAAGAACTACATGATACTATTATACCCTCCACCATACTATGGAGGGTATATTAATTTTGTCATTCCGTTTGTAACTCCTCGAAATATTCATGTCAGACCCAACAAAGTATATATATTCTTGATCAGCGTAAAATTCTAAGACGATTTCGCCATGTCCGTCTGTCTGTCTGTCTGTCTGTGTGTCTGTCTGTCTGTCCGTCTGTCTGTCCGTCTGTCTGTCTGTCTGTCTGTCTGTCTATTGTAATCACGCTATCTTTCGAACAAATTGAGATAGAAGGCTAAAATTTTGCACACATGTATTTTTTCCCAGTAGGCAGGTTAAGTTCGTAAATGGGCCATGTAGGTCCAAGTTATCATATAGCCCCCATATAACGGTACCTCCCGATATTCGGTATTTTGATGATTTTAGCGACATTATTCACCGGAATTATTCCAAATTTGGCATTTGAAGTTTGTAATGGATGCTACAGCCTAAGACAGAAAATTATCTCTGCAGGTCCACGTCTTCCTGTAGGCCCCATATAACGGTACGCCCCGATATTCGGTTTTTTGATGATTTTAGCGACATTGTTTACCGGAATCGTTTCAAATTTGGTATTTGAAGTTCGTAATGGATACTTCATCCAAAGTCAAAGAATGAGCCATGTAGGTCCACGTCTTCATATAGCCCCCATATAACGGTACCCCCCGATATTTGGTATTTTAATGATTTTAGCGACGTTATTTACCGGGATTGTTTCAAATTTCGTATGTGAAGTTCGTAATGGATACTTCAGCCCATGCCAGATTGTCTGTGCAAGTCCACGTCTTCGTACAGCCCCCATATAACGGTACCCCCCATATTCGGTATTTTGACTTGATTTTAGCTACATTATAAACAGATTTTTCTTCAAGTTTCGCATTTAAATATTGTAATAATTTATGACAAAAGTTGCCTATGCAGGCCCACGTCGTCGTATAAGCATTCGGTATTTTTAAGATTTTAACAAAATTTTTAACGGGTTTTATTTTTTGGAAATTGCCAAATTTGTACCAAATGGTGGAGGGTATTAAAAGTTCGGCCCGGCCGAACTTACAGCTTTTTTACTTGTTTTTGAATTACTGTTGGTGTCTAGATTCGAGAGATGTAGATTGTTTTGGATAAACGTATGAAATGGTACTAAATTTGCTATTTTGTGAAGGGATAGAGTTGTTATCCCAAAATTCGATATTGAGGTCGCTGTTGGTATCTGGGATTGAGATATGGAGGTGGTTTTGCATATGCGTACTATAATTGTTCGAAAAGTACTGAATGTCTACTATAGCTGGAGAAAAGTTGGTGGTTTTGGAAATATGTACTATAATTGTTCGAAAAATACTAAATAAACTAAATCTGGTATTAGCTGAAAACATAAAATTTTATTCTGAAATAACTAATTCACGCAAAAATAAGTTAGTATAGAGTATTTGATGGTGGTTTTGCAAAAGTGTACTATAATTGTTCGAAAAGTACTAAATCGTACTATTTTTGGATCACTGTTGGTGTCTAGGACGAAGACATGTACATTCTTTGGGATATACGTACTAAATTATACTAAATTTGCTATTGAGTAAAGGGATAAAGCTGAAATTGTGAAATTTGATATTGAGGTCACTGTTGTTTTTTAGGGTTTCCTCGGTAAACTTCGAGTCTAAAGATTTTGAAAATTTTATGGTGTAAAAGCTAAACATTTTCCTATTATTCTTTCCGGAAAAAAGAGAAAGCAAACTCGAATTATGTATAAAACCTTGAAGATTGAAATTTTAGTACGATGTACGAGGTTTTGAATTAAAAAATTTGTCAAACGGAACAAAGAATAATACAATAATTAATACAGGAATCATGTTTCCTGTGACGACTATTATCGTGTCATAAAACTAATGCCAATTTTCCATATTTTCGAGCATTTCGGCGAATTTTCCTATGTTTACTATATTTACTTTTCCAATTTCATCCTAATTTACCATAGGAACCAGGGTCATATTTTAGATGAATTTTTTATCGGTAAATATACGCGGATTCCACCTAACAGTGGCAACATCATTATGATCCCCGTTTCTAAAGTATTTCTGCTTCATTTTATTTTTCTTAAACAAAATTAAAAAATACATATCTTATTGACACGCGAAATGTTATTCTATATAGATCACCAAAAGGAAACATAGGTCAATATTGTTTCCTTTTGCATTTTACCAACAAATGCACATATATGTAGTACAGGATTATTACCACTGGGTGGCGTTTTTTACATGAATAAGTTACTTTTGCAACAGTCGGTTTGATGTTTTAAATTTCGTATTTGATGTTCGCAATAGAACAGTAATTTGGTAATATAGATGCATGTCTTGGTATAGGCAAACATTTCTAATAACTCTATCCGAAGTATTACATTCCATAAAGTGAAGGAATTACAATTTCAGGCCCGCCAAACTTTACTGCGTTTATACTTGTGTAGGATGTGATTTGGGAACTTCTGATCGAAATCTATGAATGTACATTGGTTTGTGTAGTGCTCGTGCTCGTTATCTACGAAGTTCAATGTTTCGTACGAGTGAAAATGTATCGACCGATAATACCTAATTTCGTGTCAGTACTATCAAGGCAACGTTTGTTTGATTGTTCTTTTTTATCAGTTACCAAAATGTGATTACTAGACAACAAATGTTCGGTGATTCCTAAAAAAACAAAAAAAAAAATAGGTGGCGTCATCAGCTACGTTTGATGGAATTGCAAATTAAAATAATTGATTTTGGCAAAGGGAACTGATTACAAACTATACATGTGGGCGTTAGTTGTCATGCTTATTGATAAAGAGATTTGAATAGAACCTATGCCCAAGTTAGATATGTAGACAGTTTGAAAACTTCTGTCCACATTTTTATTAATGGATTATTTACACAGTCAACTTTTAAGAAGGTTCATGTGATAGCTATGTTAAGTTTGTTTTGTTAAATGTTGTGTTCCCGTACTTGTTTTAATGCAAAAATAGCGATCTGAGAGAGAATAATATAATTATTATTGATCCCACCTGTCACTCAAGCTCCAAACTAAATATCATAACAATTTACATCGGTATTTACCTTGTTATATCCTTTCAATTCATACCATCCCTTATCCACCAGGTATTTGAATGTCTTTGGCATCGTACGACGAAAATTCATCCTTGACAAACTGTCAATGCCAAACATAATTATTCCCACTTTTGGTGCATCTTTTTTTGAGAATGTCTCTGTCCTATTCTTATTGACTTGTATAAATGTGAAGGCATCCTGTTGTATCACTTTATTCAAAGATTTCGATGAACAGTCCACAATAATGCCGTTGACATGTTTCGGCACAGTAAAGTTCTGATGGAACAGTGTACAGGGCAATAATCTAAAAGAAAGAAGAAAGTAATTCTCAGATGTGATATGTTGAATTAAGAGAAAAAATCAAGTGGACGAAAAGTACTAAATAGTACTACATTTGGTACAGTATTGGGTAGGTTTTTCGCTGACTTGCTAAAATAAGTTTCAACATGTCTTTGGGAGACACATTTAATATTTCTCTTGAGGGCATGATTTACATGTCTATTTGCGGCAACTTGAACATGCCTATGAAATACATGTTCAACATGTCTAGAGAAGAAGATACCATTTGGTATTACCTGAACGGAAATAGTTAAAAACCTGAAAGTTGGTATAGGAATCAAGGTTGGACAGTAAGTTTAATATATGAAGGTGGTTTTGGAAATACAGGGTGAGATGAAAAAAACTGCAACCAATTCAGACTGCTGTCATTTCTAAGCCACTCGTCCGACAGCTGTAAATTATTCCAGTGACACTTCATTATATTGTTTACAAGCGTACAAAAGTATTTTGGTGAGAATTTTCCAGAAAAAAAGTAAAAGTAAAACCGCAAGTGGCTATCGTTAGAGCACTCCAGCATTTAAATGAGAATAAATCTTATGTGTCTCGTATCATCGCTAATTACCGTGATACTGGTAGCGTAGCCCGTCATAGAAGTGTTCGGAAGAATACAGCAAACATCAGCAGAAATGGTTCGAAAAGTAAAGAAGCGACAACCTGCGACACAGTGGCTAAAAAATGGCTCGTGAGCTGAACATATGGCAATATTTCATTCGGCAAATATTGAAAATGAGCTCCAAATGGGCAAGATCTTACACCGCAATAGAAAGAAAATAGACTCAAAAGAGCTTGGCCGAAAGTGATGAACGGCCGAATTTGGTTTTGTTTGAGAAAACATTCGTTGTCCAGCTGTTTGTAAACAAACAAAGCGATCGTGTTTAATTGCCAAAGAGGTCAGCTGAAATTGTGCACCTTCGGTTGGCCACCAGAACACAAGCGCCGGCCATGGTGATGGTGTGGGCCGCCATAACAGCCGATGGTCGCTCTCCGTTTGTATTAATCGACCGTCGCATCAGAATAAATGCCGAATATTATCGCGAAAATATTCGGGTGGGTGTATTAGAGCCTTGGATGTATTAGAACCTCGAGGTTCCTCGCTTCATTTCCAGCACACAATGGCCACCAAAATCTCCGGATACCAATCCGTTGGGTCATTGTGTATGGAGTATTTCGGAATGCAAGGTTGGCACTAATAAATACCAACGTGTCGATCACCTCAAGCAAGCGCTTCACCTGGAACGGGTCAAAATACCACAGAGCAACTTTCGGGTAGTGTGTGACGGTATCATTGACCGTTTATAGGCCATAATTCGTGCCAAAGGTGACCAAATCGAACATATCTAAACTTATTCTAAAATTTGATGCTATTTCCGACATTTGTTGCTTTCATTCAATAAAATTAAAAAAAAAAATAAAAATTATGGCGTATGACTTTTGTGAATTTTTTGAACAGTTTGGACACGGTGAACGAATGAAGCTGAAGGTATGCTTGTGAAAAAGAGTAGAGTGCACGAAAAGTACTAAATAGTACTAATATTTAGTACTAAATAGTACTAATATTTAATAGTACTAATATTCGGTATTGTGTGAACAGATAGTGCGCGAAATCTGAAATTTGGTATTATTGTCGCTGATCATGTGTAGCCTCGACATATGGAGGAGACTTTAGAAATGGTACTATAATAGTAGAATAAGTACTAAATGGAGCTAAATTTGGTATTGGGTGAAGGGAATTGAGATATGGGAGTTGTTTTGGAAATGTGTACTATAATTCTATGAATAGTACTAAATAGTACTAAATTTGGTATTGATTAAAGGAACAAAGCTCAAATCCTGAAATTTGATATAGATATCAATGTTGGTATCTGTAGATAAACTATGAAAGTGGTTTTGAAAATGTGTACTGTAATTGTTCTGAAAATACTAAGAGGTACTAATTTGGGCATTGGGTGAAGGGATAGGACTAGAATCCCGAAATTTGATATTGAGATCTCTGTTCATATATGGAATTGAGATATGGGGGAAATTGGAAATGGAGTTTTGGAAATGTGTAATAAAATTCTACAAAAAGTACTGAATGGTACTAATATTTGTATTGGGTGAAGGAACATAGCCGAAAACCTGAAATTTGATATAGATATCAATGTTGGTATCTGTGGTTAAGCTATGAAAGTGGTTTTGAAAATGTTCTGAAAGTACTAAGAGGTACTAAACTGGGCATTGGGCGAAGGGATAGAGCTGAAATCCCGAAATTAGATATAGAGGTATTTTCGGAAATTTCCACTATAATTGTACAAAAAGCACAAGACAGTACTAAATTTTGTCTTGGTTGAAGGGATACAGAAAAAAATCTGAATTTTGATATTTAGATAACTGTAGGTATCTGAAGTTAAGATATGGAGATTGTTTTAACAATGTGTTGGTATATTCAGCATGTATATGGAAGTCTTGTTCATTGTCTTTGGAAGACATGTGTACAATGAGATTTTCAACATGTAAATTACACAACTACATACACTGGTGGCCAAAACTAAAGCAACTGAAATTACAAGGAGAATGAATGCCCTGTAACTTTTTCAAAAATTAAGAAAATGAGAAAGTTTTTCTTGTTTTAAATTAGGTACTTTATTCACTTTTTAAAAACCTAAAACATAAAACCAAAATTCATTTTTATATAAAAAATTATGTTTGGTAAAGTCAATTAACCCGATTTTGGCTTGGACAAAACAAAAGCAACTCTGTTGTACATTCATATAACCGCTTCAATTTCAATTGTTTTTACTGTGATATTTATCGCTTTTTGCTTCCTTCGACAATTTCGCTTGTCATAAATCCTTTTTGAGAAGTTTTTTACAAAAGTATGTGTTTTTCTTTTCGTTTTTTAAGTACTGCCAAAAAAAAATTTTAAAATGGCTAGAAGCAAATACTGTACCTGAATAAAACAGCAAATTATAAGTGATTATCAAAACAACATATCACAGAAAATGATTTCCGAGAAATATTTCATAAATATTTATGCGATTTCATAATTATGTCTGTGCACTAAGTCGGTTTTTTGAAACTGGATCAGTAGTAACAGTCCATAACGGATGAAGGCCGTGAAGAACTTCAGCCCATACTGATCCACAAATTGTGAGAGAAATAAAAAACAACTATTTAAGAGTTCAACAGGATTGGTGAGAGAGCAATCATTGGATATAAGCTCGAGATCAGTGCGTAGACGAGTAGTGGCAGCTGGTCTGCGTGCCCGTAAGACATCAAAAAACCATTTATATCTGAAAAAATCAAAAAGGCTTTCGGAAACGATAATATTAAGTGGAATCAAGCTCAATGGAAAAAACATTATTTCTGGGATGAGTCTACGTTTAATATTAAAGGCTCAGACGTGAAAAATTTTACGGTGGAAGACCAAAAAATGAAGGACTCAAGCCGCAGTGTTGCAAAGGTACAGTGAAGCATGAGGGAGGGTCAAAAATGACGTGGCGCTGTTTTTCTTTCTATGGACTTGGGGCTATCCATAAAATAAAGGAAGTTGTGGATCGGTTTGTTTACAAAGATGTGTTGGACATCACGTTGTTCCCTTACGCTGAGTAAAATATTGGGCTGATTTGTGTGTTTCAGCATGACAATGATCCCAAACTTGTATCAAAACTTGTCAAATATTGGTTGCGGGAGTCAAAAATTCATGTTTTGTTATGGCCGGCACAATCACCTGACCTAAACTCCTTAGAAAGCCTTTGGAGTATCGTAGATAGGAATATCAAGAGAGATTCGGAAATAAATAAGCACAACATTTTCTAAAGAATTCGGGGTGCCTGGGAAAGCACACCCAAGGATCAAATTGAGCGTGTTATAGATTCAATGCCTCGTAGGTGTGCAGCTGCTATCAAAAATAATGGTTATGCTATCGACTACTAGCCAAAATTTAATTATTTTAAAATAAAAAATCAAAAGTTGCTTTAGTTTTGACCAAGCAAAAATTGGGTCATTTTAGTTTTCCACATATTATTTTTCGTTCAAACTTATTTTTGTATTTTTATTTTTAGTTTCTTGAAAGTGAATTAAACCCCTCATTTAAAACTGGAAAAATAATTACGATTTGTTCATTTTTGTAAAAGTTACAGGACATTTATTGTCTTTGCGATTTAAGTTGCTTTAGTTTTGGTCACCAGTGTATGTATGGGAGACATTCATCATGCCTGTTGAAGACCATGTATGAAAATAATGTTTAACACTTTCATCAAAAAAGAATTATTCAGCAAATATATGGAAGGCATGAACATGTCGATGGAGACAGGATGAACATGTGTATAGAAGATATATTTAACATGTTGGTTGAAGACATGCCAGATGCCAGACATTCGGACGCATGTTCAACATGCGGTTGAATGTTGTGTTTATCATAACTGTTGAAGACATGTCTATGGAAGACATATTCTGCATGTCTGTGGAAGACATGTTCAAAATTCTTGAATATATATCCGCCTTTGAATTGGTTGATAATATTTTACTCAGATGTTTGCTAGGTCATGTTTAAAATTTAGAATTTGAAGTTGTTAATGGGTACTACATCCTATGACAGAAAATTGCATATACAGGATCACATCTTCGTATAGACCCCAATATATTCTGTATTTTTGTGATTTACTGATATTTCAATGGATTTTTTGAAAATTTGCTGAAAATATTAACATAGATATTTATTACATGATCTATAGAATATATGACCAACATTCAAGATATGCTCGAAATTTCAGAGGAAATTATGTTCAACATATCTATGGAAGGCATGTTTAACATGTCGTCCAATAAGTGGTTCAACATCTCTATAGAAGACATTAAAATGCATATGGACGATATATTCAACTTTCTGAAACTGACTTCGCATGCTCAACATTAATATGAACGGACTTTTCATATTTTTTTGAAAGAGGTTTACAATATAGAAGCCTCTTTCGGTTCTTCTCTACAAACACTAAACACTCTTCAACACAGACAAAATATAGCAACGAAATGAATCCCACTTACTTGTATTTCGAATCAGCGCTGCTGCCACTTCCGCTGCGCTCTATTTGCCGATAACAGCAACGCAAGTCGTCGACAATAGTTTCGACAGTAGCTTTTTTGATAAATTTTTGTGCCACTGTATAATTTGTTTGCAATTTGTATACCTTGTTTTTGTTATCGAATTTAACACTGATGATGGGTTCGTCTTTGGTACAACCCGTCTTGAGGCTGGGTCTGAACAGTTTCTTAATTGCCGGTGTAAATGGGTCAACGTATGGCATGTGGCATCTAGAAGTGTTGATGTAAAACTTACGCTGTGTTTGCACATCAGTGCTGTTGTGTGGTGTCAGCAATTTTTCAGATTTTATTGTGGTTGTTGTTTTCGTCGTACTCCTAGGTTTTGAGGTAGTTGAGGTAATTTCTGTGATGTTCTTCTTCCATAAAGTTGTACCATAGTAATTAGATATTGTAGTTACACCATGTTCTGTGTAGTCGTTTCTTTTTGTAGTACTAGATGCTGTAATTAGAAAACAGAACATCGGAAATTAAAAAAATAATAATGTCTGAAAGTTGTAACATGTAATTGATAACTTGGTACAAAAAATGCCATGAAATTTGGTGCTATAATTGTAATTGTTAAGTAATTTTATATTCTAAAGGATATTGTGTTTATTTTGAAGAATTCACATACACTTATAGTGCTGTAGTACATACTTGAAGTCAAATGTACTGTGTTTAAATGCTAATCGTAGTATTTTTGAACTCTAATAGTTTTGTATAACGTAGTTGTCATAGCTTTCTGAAAACTATTATACATACGATTTTCTTTTATCTTTCAATAAACTTTCAATACATTACGTTATGGGCCCAGAAAGCGCATAAAAAATGTCTTATTCTGGTATTCCACAAATTGAAAGATTAAAGGGCCGAGAAAATTGGGAACAATGGCATACTTCGAAATGGAAGGGCTATGGAGTTCTGTGGAAGGCAAAGAAACAGATGTCTCAAAAACGTGAATGCCCGTTCCAAACTGATTTTATTGTTGGATCCCATAATTTTTGTTCACATTCAAAAGACTATGTCTGCAAAAGAAATTTGGAATAATTTGTCAAAAGCTTTTGAAGATTCTGTGCTTACTCGAAGAGTAAGTTTGCTTAGAACACTTATTACCACAAAGATGGAGGATTGTGTTTCAATGGAAGAATTTGTGAACATTATAATGTCGACTGCAGGAAAGCTGGCTGGTACTGGAATGAATGTATCTGATGAATGGATTGGTACATTGATGTTGGCTGGACTCCCTGAGTATTATCAATCTATGATAATGGGTCTTGAGAGTTTCGGTGTACAAATATCTGGTGATTACGTAAAAACAATGCTCTTACAAGATGTGCATTCTAGCAGTTCAAAAGTAGCAGCTTTAGTCGGAAAGTCAAGAAACATCTTAACAAAAGCTTTTCCTAACCAAAGGATTCAACAATTATGTCAATACCTTGGGTTAAATAACTTCAAGTCTAGTGGGGGTGTTGTAGTACATACTTGAAGTCAAATGTACTGTGTTTAAATGCTAATCGTAGTATGTTTGAACTCTAATAGTTTTGTATAACGTAGTTGTCATAGCTTTCTGAAAACTATTATACATACGATTTTCTTTTATCTTTCAATAAACTTTCAATACATTATATAGTGCGAATTTTTAAAAAACCGTTTGGTACATCCATTATACACTCCCTCAGTAAAACTCATTCCATATTTAGTAACTTTTATATATATATATATATATCTATATATCCGTCTTTGAATTGGTTGATAATATTTTACTCAGATGTTTGCTAGGTCATGTTTAAAATTTGGAATTTGAAGTTCTTAATGAGTACAACATCCTATGACAAAATTGCATATACAGGACCACATCTCCGTATAGACCCCAATATTTTCTGTATTTTTATGATTTTATCAGTATTTTCCAATGGATTTTTTTTTTTAAATTTACTGATTTTTTCCAAACGGCGGAATGTATTCAAAGTTTTGGCCCGGCCGATTTTACTGATTTTTTCTTCTTTAATTTATAAATCTGTTCTTTTGATTTTCATATTTCAAATGTATATTTTTGTTGTTATTTCTCCACTAAAAGTAAGTTCGCTTTCCATATTCTATGAAATCATAACCCAATTGCTCAGTACTAATTTCGATAAGACAAACATTGCCAAAATACTAACTTTTAGTGTTGAAGAAAATTAGATATCGTCAACCTCATTCGATTATTACGATTTCACGAATTGAGTATTGATTATTTTAATTGTTGTCTCTGCGAATTGGCCGTAGTAATCACAATTTATTAAACACGTGTGAGTTAAGTATAATCAACTTTAAAACCACTTATGAAAATGTCATAAAATAATGAAAGGAGATAACCAATTATATAGCTAATAAAAAGTACCAAATCACACTGCCGTACTTTTGCTGAAATTTCGGGCGTCGCACGACCATAATCGAAAGCCTTATTTCAGCACTATTTTTAGAACTTTTGTTGCGTGGCTACGTTTTGAAGTTCAATCGAATAGACCCGAACACTTTTTACGGTTGTTATCAGAAAGTAAATGGCTGTATCGAACAAAGAAGTAAGGCCAAAATATCATAAATAGTCAGTCCATCATGAGAAATACTTAACAATTTGAAAATATGTCAAATAGAACGGAATCGCTTAACAGCGGCGAAATAAATTTGGCGTTCTGGAATGACTGGGTATTATTTAGGATACTGGATATTGTTTCTTTTTACATTTGTTTGTAGGACGCAATCGATTATGATTTTGATATAGATATAGCTCCCACACATATTTCACATATTTCAGTCAGATTTTAGTATTTTTCCCCGTTATGGGAACGGTTTTCAAATAAACAATTAAAAAATAAGCTAAGTTCGATCGTGCCAAACTTTTAAGATCCTCAACCATTTGCAAAGTACATGAAAAATTTCCAGGAAAAAAATCCGTCCAAAATAATTTTCTGCCATAGGCTGTAGTACCGAATACGTAATTCAATAACGGATTTTGAAACAATTTAAAATACGGAATAAAGGAAGGATATACGAAGACGTGGAATCGTGTTATGGGGCCTATATGAAGACGTGGCCTGCACATGTAATTTATTGTCATAGACTGTAGTATCCATTATGATCTTGAAATACGAAATTTGAAAAAGTTCCATTGAAAAGTTTCGCTGAACAAATCAAACTACCGAATATAGGAAGGTTCCGTTATATGGGGATAAACGAAAACGTGAACCGACATGGCCCATTGACGAACTACTGGCAAAATACGCATGTATGCAAAATTGTAGCCTTTTATCTCAATTCGTTGGAAAGATAGCGTAATTAAAACACACGAAAATACAAAAAATCTCTACCCCGAGAAAATCCACAAGTTCAAATTGTAACTGATTAACTTAGAAATTGGGGTTGAAAATCCCAAAAGATCGAAAATGAGAAGGTGCCGTTATATTGTGGTTATGTACCAACGAGGACTGATACATTCTAACTTTAAGACTAAATATCCTAGGAACATATCAATGTCTTTGTATATTTCAAACCTCTAAGTTTAACAGTATACCGTAACATATTTTTCGACTCGTATAAAAATAATATATTTGACAAACATTAATGGCAACAAAATTCGCCTTAGCCATGTTTACCACAAGCAACAGTTATTTTTTTTAACAAAAAAATATCTAAGGACGACCGTCATAAAATTAGTTTAAGCGACCTCAATGGAATATTCTAACCGAAGTCACGAAGTTAAAGATCGAATGAACCCTTAATATGTGTATATATATATATATATATATATATATATATATATATATATATATATATATATATATATATATATATATATATATATATATATATATATATATATATATATATATATATATATATATATATATATATATACGTAGTGCTTTCAACCACTGTGTATCGCAGGGTTCTTTAATTCTGAGAACAAATTTATCGAAACAACCCATCCACAAGTTATAAATGTTTTACAACTTTAACACTTTTAATAAATAATAATATTTAACAAGAACCCCACATAAAAATGCTTCTAAGAAAAGAAATTTGTTATCTCGAAATAAAAATGTTAAAGTTAGATAATTTCTTTTAACCAACCCGCTGGGTGGATCTTTTTTTCGGGATGAAGTAGTGTTTTGTTGTTGCAAAATAGTTGGCATTAACCATTGTAAAAATATTCCAAAAAATAATTTGAACAAGAACAAGTTAAAAAGCAGTAAATTCGGCCGGGCCGAACTTTTAATACCCTCCACCATTTGCAAAGATTTTGGAAATTTTTAAAAAATAAAATCCTTAAAAAATTCTATTAAAATTTTAAAAATACCGAACATAGCCGTTATATTGGGGTATATACGACGTGGACATACATAGGAATTGTTTGTCATAAGCCATTACCATATTCAAATTCGAAACTTGAAATAAACGGTGAATAATGTAGCTAAAATCATCAAAATATCGTATATAAGGAGGTGCCGTTAAATTGGAGATGTGCTAAGACCTGGACCAGCATAGACAATTTTCTGTCACAGGCTGTAGCATCCATTACGAACTTCAAATACCACATCTCAAACAATTTCGGTGGGTATTGTACCTAAAATCGTCAAAATACCGAATATAGGGAGGTACTGATATATGGGGCCTATACGAAGACCTGGACTTGCACAGACAATTTTCTGTCACAGACTGTAGTTCCCGTTACGAACTCTAAAAACGTAATTTGAAGCAATTCCAGTGAGTAATCACGCTAAAATCATCAAAATACCGAATATTGGGAGGTACTGATGTATGGGGCCTATACGAAGATCTGGACCTGCATAGACAATTTTCTGTCACAGACTGTAGTTCCCATTACGAACCCTAAATACGTAATTTAAAATAATTCCGGTGAATAATGTCGCTAAAATCATCAAAATACCGTATATCGGGAGGTACAGTTATGTGGAGGCTATACCAAAACGTGGAACTACACGGCCCATATTCAATACCAAAAGTCCTGTAGATATAACATACATACAATTTTGAAACAATTCCGGTGAATAATGTCGCTAAAATCATCAAAATACCGAATATAGGGAGGTACCGTTATATGGGGGCTATATGAAGACGTGGACCTGCACAGACAATTTTCTGTCTTAGGGTGTAGTATAAATTTTGAACTTCAAATACCAAATTTGAAACAATTCCCGTGAATAATGTCGCTAAAATCATCAAAATACCGAATATCGGGAGGTACCGTTATATGGGGGCTATATGAAAACGTGGACCTACATGGCCCATTTACGAACTTAACCTGCCTACTGGAAAAATAAACATGTGTGCAAAATTTTAGCCATCTATCTCAATTCATTCGAAAGATAGCGTGATTACAACAGACAGACGGACAGACAGACGGACAGACAGACAGACAGACCATAATATGGTGGAGGGTATAAAAATCGACAATAAAAAATGCAAGGTTTATTATTGAAAAACATTGATGGCGTTTACTTATGGTATAAATTGAATATTAAAAGCTATTTAGTTCAGAGACTCACAATGACATTTGATCTACAACAATTCTTTCACTGACACTTTCCCCAAAAATATGAAGTACAAAGGGGAATTCGGACTAAACTTGGAAACGTGTGAAATTAACAGTAAAAAAATAACAAAGCAGGCCGGCCCGAACTTTGAATACCCTTTACCATTTGAAAGTAATTTGCAAATTTTCAAAATATATCCGTTGAAAGTAATGCAATAAAATACCGAATGTGGGGATTTTCCGTTATATTGGGGTCTATAAGAAGACGTGATCCTGCAAAAATACTAAATTTGATATTATTCCGGTGAACAATGTCGCTAAAATCATCAAAACATCGAATATAGGGAGGTACCGTTATATGGGGGCTATACGAAGATCTGGACCTGCATATTAATTTTTCGATCATAGGCTGTAGTACCCATTATGAACTTCAAATACGAAAGTTAATACATTCACCAAAAGCATCAAAATACCGAATATATGGACGTAACGTAAAATGTGGGCTATATGGAGATGTGGATCTGCATAGGCAATTTTCTGTCACCGGCTGTAGTGCCCATTACGAACTTACAATACGAAATTTGAAAAAATCTCGGAGAATAATGTCGATAAAATTATCAAAATACCAAAAATATGGAGGTACCGTTATATGGGCCCCATACGAACACGTGGACCTGCATAGGCAATTGCCGGTCACAGGATGTAGTACCCATTAGGAACTTCAAATTACAAATTTGAAACATTTCAAGTGAAAAATGTGACATTAATGTTACAGTTATATGGAAATACCAACTTTTTAACCTATATTGACAGTTCTATGCAAGAATGTTTCTTACTTAATGGAAATACATGCTGCCAATTAGAGAAAATTCAAGTTAAAATTGTGACCAAAGAACTTTAATTCTGTTGGTCCTGCAGACCTTACACACATTTTTTTCTCAATAAATAAATAAAATAACATACATAACTGCAACAAAGTCAAACGCCATAATTTTTATATATTTTTAATTTTATTGAATGAAAGCAAAAAATGTCGGAAGTAGCATTAAATTTTAGAATAAGTTTAGATTTGTTGGAATTGGTCATTTTTGCCACGAATTATGGCCTTTAAACGGCCAATGAAACCGTCACACGCTACCCGAATGTTGCTTTGCGGTATTTTGGCCCATTCCCGGCGAAGCGTTTGCTTGAGGTAATCACTTTGGTATTTTTTAGTGCCAAGCTTGCTTTCCAAAATACTCCAGACATAACAGTCTAATGCGGCGTTTCCACTACACTTGATTCGCTCTCTATTCGTTGTTTGACCCTTAACTATGAAAAAACTACTTAATTCTTCACACAAAATTTCCTGATCACTCTCAGAACAACGAAAAAATATGTCCCATCCCCAACAAATGAGAGCATTTATCGAAAAAAATAAATTATGACATTTAAAAATTAAAACTAGTAAAATTTAATGAAATTTTAAAAAAATTTGGGAAGACTGAAAATTATGAATGAAAACTACAATGTTGAATGGCGTATGTACATTGAAACGAAAGTACATTTTGTTTCTTCTCTTTCATTCGAGGTACGCATTTTGTCCACGAGTTGAAATTTCCACAAAAACTGCGAACAAAAGAGGCAATATTTTCAAAATGTTTGTATCGGGAGAAAAAAATTTTGACAAGTGTCTCTCCAGCAGAATTTAAAAATAGAAAAATACAAAAATATGTTCAAAATGTTACGATCGATTTATTTGTTTAAAAACTGTTGGACAACGAATGTTTTCTCATCGGAGAAAACCAAATTCAGCAGTTCACCATTTTCGCCAAGCAAAACAACTCTTTAGCTCTTTTGAGTCTATTGTCTTACTGTTGTGGTGTTAGTTCTTGCACTTTTTGGAATTTCAATGGCATTACCCCGAGCTCATTTTTCAATATTTGCCGAATGGAATATTGCGATATGTTCAGCTCACGAGCCATTTTTCATTTTCGATCACTGCGAGGCTGGTTTCAATCAAGTCGCTTCTTTACTTTTCGAACCATTTTTGCTGATGTTGCTGTTTTCTTCCGTCCACTTCCTTGACGTCGAGCTACGCTACCAGTATCACGGTAACGAGCGATGGTACGAGACACAAAAGATTTATTCACATTGAAATGCTGGAGTGATCTAACGATAGCCACTTGTGGTTTTCCAGCCAAATATAAAGAAATCACTCTTGAATTCCATCACAAATAACTTTTTTTCTGAAAAAACTCACCAAAATGCTTCCGTACGCTTGTAAACAATATTATGAGCTGTCACTTGAATAATTTTAACAGCTGTCGGACGAGTGGCTTTGAAATGACAGCAGTCTGAAGTTGGTTGCAGTTTTTTCATGTCATCCTGTAGTATGTATAGTTCCACGTTTTCGCATAGCCCCCACATAATAGTATCTCTGGATATACAGTATTTTGATGATTTTTGTCAATTTTTTTTCAAGAATTTGACTAAAAATTGGTATTTGTAGGTCATAATGAGTTCTAGCTCCGGTGGCGAAACATTGTATATATAGGTCCACGTTTCTGTATAGCCCCCCATATAACGGTACCTCCCAAATTTTGGTATTTTGATAATCATAGTCAGTTAAATGCATATTATATCTCTTGTCCTGTTACTTAAAACGCGTCTAAAATGTAACTCCATTGGTTTAAGTAAATTATGAATTTCTGTTGATTATTTTTTAAATTATTGAGAATATTCTTCGAAAAAGATAGGTATATTTTATTTCTTTATTTATTTCTTTGGCAACGCTTAATGTCATTGCGCAACTTGTGTCGATTTTTAAAATATCGCCATTTATCGAGTGGAAAATCGCTAAATTGGTTAAGTAAAAAAACTTTAAGATCGGCCAGGCAGATCTTTTAATACCCTCCACCATTGGGTAAAGAAAACTTTTTATATAAAAGTATCTGAATTCAAACGTGTCCCACTTTAAACTACAAATACCAGTAAGACCGTTTGGATAATGCTGTTAAACTTTTCAAAAAACCAAAAATAGCTGAGGCCGCTATATGGGGTGCCATACCAAAACGTGGACCTGTACATACTATGTTACGCCATTGGAGCTAAAACCCATTACCCATTTTTGAACAAATCCGTGGAAAAATGTGACAAAAATCATGAAGACGCCGAATATCAGGAGCTACCGTTATATGGCGGCTACAAATTTTCTACCAAATTTTGAAGCTCTACGTCAAATAATGTGGGCTGTATCGTGATTTCAACAGACAGACGGACATCTTTAAATCGACTTAGAATTCTATGCTGATCATGATCATGAGGTCTGCGACGAATATTTATGGATGTTACAAACGGAATGGCAAAGTAAATATGCCTCCTTTTCAAAGTGGAGGATATAACAATGAGTGAGAATTGAGTAATGACATTTGTGCCACTTTGCTAAAAGCCTATGATATAGAATAAGGGGATTCCCCAACGATGTTGTGTTTTGTTTGTTGCTGTAATGGTAGAGACAACATTCCTTCAGAGGAACAACCGAGAATTGAGCATGACGATGTTGTAAAATATTTTGAAATGTGTATACAGTGAGTGCAATATATAGAATATAGATGCCACCAAATCTCTAAAAGTGCGTGAACTTCAAGAAGAGGCGACACAAAAAAAAAACTACAAGTTCTTAAAATACAAACAAAAAAAATTAAAGTTATTTTTCTTTGAAACCATTAAAAATTGAATTGTTAAGTAGATTTAAAAAGGAAAAAAACTTGAAGAGTTATTATTTTGTTGTAGGATTTAAAAGACTTTTTTTCAGTTATGTTACTGTTTCCAAAACAAAATACAGGCCAGTTCCATATATTTTATTAATAACTTGATTTAAATTAAAACTTTTATTATAAATAGTACTCGGTTACTATTTTTCAATTTAACGAACAATGCTGGCATTTTATAGTTCGTTAAATCGAAAAACTACTGCATAAAAAAAATAAATAAAAACGTGATTGCAAATTTCCTAATTTATGTTCGCTTTGCTTACCCTGGGTACTCCTTGGATCATCTGCTGCTGATTCATAGCGAATGCCATTTAATGGCGTTGTGACCACAAGTGTTTTATTGTTTAGGGTAATTAGTAAATCTGTTGTTTTCGTATTATTTATTTTTAATTGTGATGATGTCGACATGCCCATCGTGCCAATGTATCCATCATCTTCATCACTATCGTCATAATCATAATATTTACTATTGTTTCCACTTATAGATAAATTTGTTATTATTTTATAATTATTATTAATATTTTTATTGTTGATGGCATCTTCCGAAAGATTGCCAACAAATTCAACAACCGGATGTTGTTGAAATTTTATTGTACTAGTATCAAGTTCGTTATAATCCCCAACGTTTTTCACATTCAATGTAGTGTTCTGATTGCCACTGGAGAATTTGTAGTATTCACTTTCATAGGCGACATATACAAGTTGTGTCAGTAAAAAAATAAAAATCAATAATTTCATTGAGATATGTACGTGAAAGGGTTCCGAAGCTGCATCTTCATCACTGCACTGTGTCGTCGCCTGGAGGCTATCTTCATTTTCACTTGACTTTAAAGGTTTATATTTGAAATTTGGCATGATTTTAATGGAAAAATTTCCAAAACTTTTATTTCAAACTTGTTCTCTTGCGCTTCGAAAGGCTCGCGCAATTGTGTCCCGCCGCATGAATCGCTATAATGTATGTTGTGCTATGATCGACGTCAATCTCTAACTGCCGTTTTTGATTGTTTGCCCTACGAAGTATACGAACATAGAGTAGCCAGCCACTCAGGCTGTTCTTTCGCACGCAAAGAACTTCTACTGATAAAATAATAGCTACTAACAAAAAAACACCAACGAATACAAAAGCAAAAAATTACAAAACATTATTTTGTGTATTTGAGAGTTTGTGGCGATCCGAGTTCTACTCCCAACAAATGTTGACAAATTGCATTTTCATATTGTTGTTATTATATTTGTTTTATTATTACTTTTGTTGTTCTTTTGTTTTGAGTTCTTTTTTTTTTGTGGAAATATCTGTATTTGTTTCCCTAAAACAAAATATGGATGTTTCATTCGATACAATCTTATTTATGCCATGCTTAGTTAATTTATAATGGGGTTTGTCGTAATAATCTTTAATTAAAAACAAGTAAAAAATACCATCATATAGAAAGTGAAACATTTGCAAACCTTTTAGAGGTCCAGTATTCGAGAGATTAATATTACTTCTGTTATTGGAAAAATATTGATTCAATGTTAAGAACAAGTCACTTGAAAAGTGTTGGTAAGATCATCCGAATACCAAATTGAGAAGTACCGTTATATCAGAGCTATAGGAAAACGTGGACTTTTATAAGTAATGTCTTGCCGCAGAGCGTAGATTCTATTAAAGTAAAACAGCAGTAAGTTCGGCCTGGCTGAGCTTTGAATACCCTCCACCATTTGGAAAGAAATTGCAAATTTTCAAAAAAAAAAAATCCGATGAAAAATTCTACTAAAATCCTAAAAATACCGGATATAGGGAGTTACCGTTATATTGGCGCCTATACAAAGACGTGAACTCGATTACGATATTCCAATACGAAAAAAATACCGAATAAAGGGAGGTACCGTCATATAGGGGCTATACGAAGACGTTGACCGACATGGGCAATTTTCTGTCTCAGACAGTAGTACTCATTACGAACTTCAAATACGAAATTTAACAAGTAAAAAAGCAGTAAGTTCGGCCGGGCCGAACTTTGAATACCATCCACCATTTTTCAAAAAAAATGAAATCCATTAAAAATTCTGTTAAAATCTTAAAAATTCCGAATATGTGGCTATACGATATCATGGACCTATATAGAGAACTCCCTGTCAGGGGGTAAAGTGCTCACAAGGAACTCATTGTGTAGAATTTCAGACAATTCCGTTGAAATATGTGGCTAATATCATCAAAATACCGAATATCGAGGGGTACCGTTATATGGGACCTATACGATATCGTGGATCGATATAGTCCATCTTCGAACTTGACCTGCCTGCAGACAAAAAACAGATCTGTGCAAAATTTTAGCTTCCTATCTTTATTCGTTTCGACTGTAGCGTGATTACATCAGACGGACGGACAGGGCTAAATCGTCTTAGAATTTTACGCTGATAAAGAATATATATACTTTGATGGGTCTAGAATTATTATTTCGATGAGTTACAAACGGAATGACGAACTTAATATACCCTCCATACTATGTATGGTGGAGGGTATAAAAGTGTGACACAAATCATCAAAATACCAAATATTTGGAGGCTATAGCAAAACTCAGACCTATATTGACATTTCCATGCAAGGATGAACACATGTTGCCAATTTACAGCAAATTCCGGTAAAATTGTGATTAAAACATCCAAAATGTTCCAGAAAAAAAGTTATTCGTGATGGAATTCAAGCGTGATAGTGAGATTTCTTTATATTTAGCTGGAAAACCACAAGTGGCTATCGTTATAACATTCCAACATTTAAATGTAAATAAATTTTTTGTGCCTCGCACCATCGCTCGTTACCGTGATACTGGTAGCGTAGCTCAACGTCAAGAAAGTGGACGGAAGAAAACAGCAAAATCAGCAGAAATGGTTCGAAGCGACTTGATTGAAACCCCCGTCGCAGTGACCGAAAAATGTCTCGAGAGCTGAACATTCGGCAAATATTGAAAAAATGAGCTCGGGTTAAAGCCATTGATATTCCAAAAAGTGCAAGAACTAACACCGCAACAGAAGGAAAATAGACGCAAAAGAGCTAGAGTTGCTTCGCTTGGTCGAAAGTGGTGAACTACTGAATTTGGTTTTCTCCGATGAAAAAACATTCGTTGTACAGCAGTCAGCTGACGTTGGACAATTGTGTCTAAAGTATTTTGGAATGCAAGGTTGGCACTAAAAAATACCAAAGTGTCGATCACCTCAAACAAGCGCTTCATTGGGAATGGGCCCAAATACTCCAGAGCAACATTCGGGTAGCGTGTAACGGTTTCATTGGCTTTTTGAAGACTATAATTCGTGCCAAAGGTGACCAATTCTAAAAAATCTAAACTTTTTCTAAATTTTGATGCTATTTCCAATATTTTTTTTTCTTTCATTCAATAAAATTAAAAAAAAAAATTAAACATTATGCCGTTTGACTTTGTTGCAGTTTATTTTTATCTCACCCTGTAAGTTTAGTTTTTCTCGAAACTTAATTTTTTTTGAGATTGAGTAAATGTAAATTGTTACGACTTTACCTCTATTATCAGATCACTTTAAAAAAAATACACACACAAATTGCGACACATCCTATGATACATAAAACCCGGATTAGGCAGGCAATACTCAACTTTGCTAACTACACTGATTATGAATTCTATAATTAATAAAGTAAAAAAATTACATATTATTTGCAACACTGTTGCAAAGTATTTTTTTTTCATTAGAGAAAAATTCCTATGATCTTGAGTCTATTTAAAGTTCACAAAATTTTAATAAATAATTTTGAGTAAATTAAAGTACATTGTTTTAATTTGCTCGCAAAAGTAAACACCTGCGTTCTAAACATTAGAGATAATAGAAAAATTTGACACATTACTAGCAAGTGCCGGCTACTTCTTCAGCGAAATGTCCGCCTTAAAATGTTAGATTCATTCCAACAGTTCATGTTAGACCTTTGTAGTACTTTAAAATGCACAATTTGTTCAGTTTCACAAAAATTGTTATTCAAGACTTCACACATCGTATAAAATTTTCACACTTTTAAGGTTTTATATAATATTCTATATTTTATTTTTGGGAAAGAATAAATGGGATAATAATTTTTACCTTTTACAAAAAATGTCTTTAATATCGTTCAATTTGAAGTTTACCGAGAACGATATTAGTCAAACCATTGCACAATGGCTCAACGATTTCAATATAACATTTTAGAATATCAGCTTTATCCCTTCACCCAATGACAAATTTAGTAACATTTAGTAAACATTCCTTTAAAGCAATAGAAATCTTATTTCTAAAATTCAGGATGCCAACACTACCAGTCCTAAAATTTAAATTGTACCAAATTTGGTACATAAGTACGAAATTCCAAAATTTACTACATGGCCCAATCCTGATCCGATTACAAATTTCATAATTACAGCCCTATCGGTTTGCCTTAATCCAAATTATATAGTACGTACCCCAACCTAAGGCTCTACAGCAATCTTAATTCCAAATTTAATTTTTGAAACTTCCTTCACACCAATAACAAATATGGAATTCGTACATAAGTACGAATTTCCCAAACTTCCTACATACCCCAATCCTACACTCCAACATTTATCCTAATTCCAAATGTCAGTATTCCAGCTCTATCAGCTTAGCCAAATTCAAATTGTACCAAATTTAGTACTATTTAGTACACATAAGTACAAATTTCCATAACTACCTACAACATACTATTCAATAGAAATCGTATTTCCTAATTTCAGAATTCCAACTCTACCTGTTCACCTAATTTAGTATCATTTAGTACACATTCCTTAAAAGAAATAGTAATCTTATTTCCAAATTTCAGTATTCCACCTCTATCGGTTCGTCCAAATCGGAATTGTACTAAATTTAGTACCATTGAGCGCACATTTCCCTATCCTTCAAAGGAATAGTAATCTTATTTCCAAATTTCAGGATTCCAACTTTTTCGGTTCGTACAAATCGAAATTTTACTATTTAGTACTTTTAGCGCACATAAGTACACATTTCGAAAACTACATCCATATCCCAATCCTACCTTCCCCCAGATTCCAGCTCCATCCGTTCCTCCAAAGGTTAGTTGTACCAAATTAAGCACTTCTCGTATACGTGAGTACACACTTCCTAAACTACCTCCTAACATCGACCTTACTCCTCAAACTTGATTTCCATTCCAAATTTAGTACTTTTCGTACACTTATAGTATATCAATTATACATTCCTTCAGTGACCCTCATACCAAATTAAAGAGTTTTCGTTCAACTTGTTCCCCAAATACAAAGCGTACCATATTTAGTACTTTTCGTACCGTTCTAGAATGACCTTCACCCAAAATTTAAAGATTCTAGTTTCAGTCGTTTCGTGTTGATGAATCATTAAGTCAGTCAGTCAATTAATTTACACTTTTATTAATACACTAGAGCCCCGACTTGCGTCGGTCCGAGCTACATTGTGGATTACTATTTTTTTGCATTTACAGTGCCTGACTTAGAATCTTTTCTGTCGTTTATCATTTTTAAAACTTCTGGCAACACTGATCGTCACCTGTACGTTAACAAATTTTCAAACTGCATGAAATAAGGGGAATTCCCTTTTCTTTGTGGTACTAAGAACAACTCTCTGGTTGCGGTAAGAATTAAGTGCGTGATTCGCCAGAGTACATTAAGGGCGTAAAAAATGAGTCAAAATAAAAGAAAATTAATAAGTTTGGAATTAAAATTGGACGTAATAAAACTTTTTAAATCGGGAGAAAAGGCTGTTAATATAGGAAGAGCTCTTGGACTAGGTCAATTTGCAATAGAGACAGTGATAAAATAAATCAATTAGCTGAAATTGTCACACGACTCCAATCTAAACAAGATACTATAGCAAGGAATCCCTTATTGGTTAAGAAGGTGTTCCTTCTTCCAATTTGGATACATGATCAAAAAAAGCGAAGAATCCGACCTTAAAAAAATACTGCATCTAGTAGTAACGGAAATTCTGATTCTTTCGAAGCCAGCAATGGTTGGTTTAACCACTTTAAAACACGAGCAATATTACCTAATGTGGCATTAAAAGGAGAGTAGCG